CAGAATGTACTCATAACCATGTTTGCACTTGTCCAGGTGGAGGAAGTCGATTGAAACTAGCTCGAATGGATATGTGGTCAGGATCGGGGTCAAAGGTGCACGGGTCTGCCTGTGTGGTTTCTTCTTCTTGACACATTCACAAACGTTGGTCACAAAATGCTCCACATCCTTGTACATCTGTGGCCAGTAAAACCTTTCTCGGACTAGGTCCAGAGTCCTTTCGACCCCCAGGTGACCCATGTCTTGGTGTAATTCTTTAAAGATTAATGGGTGGTAGGACTTAGGAGCGACTAGCTGTTCTCGTCGGAGGGTCCTACGGCGCAGGATGCCATCGTCGCACAAGCTGATTTTTAGCCAATGTTTTGGCAAGGTAGCGACTGCTGGATGTTCTTTCTTAATCGCCGCTCTGCTTGGTCTGTGTCCTTGGCTCTTGTACCAGATGACTCATGCCAGTATTTCATCCTCTCTTTGAGCCTCACGGATCTGTGATGGAGTTAGAGGCTTGCCAGTCCCACTGCTACAATCCTTTACCAGGCTCAAAGCACAGGTCTGGATGACTCCAACACCCCTGCATGGATTCTTTTTCTCAACTTGTACATTCTGTATGAGCGCACCAACAGTCTCTCCACTGACCTCTTGCGTGCAGCTGTTTATGTAGTCTTCCATATTGAGTGGCATCCTCAACAGTCCATCTGCATCATTGTTGTTCTTTCCTGGGCGATAGCATATTGTGAAGTGATAGTCGGCCAGCTCCGCCACCCATCTGTGTCCTGCAGCATTAAGTCTTGCCGTTGTGCGCACATATGTCAGAGGATTATTGTCTGTATAGACCACAAATGACTTGGCATGGTACAGGTAATCCCTAAAGCGCTCACAGATAGCCCACTTCAGAGCTAGAAACTCTAGCTTTCCTGAGTGGTACCTCTTCTCTGACTGGCTGAGGCTGCGAGAGCTGTATGCGATGACTCTCATCTTCCCCTGTTGGCGTTGATACAACACTGCGCCCAATCCATCTTGTGAGGCATCACAGTGAAGTGCGAAGGGCTGGTGAAAGTCAGGATAACCCAGGATGGGGGGTTTTGTGAGGGTCTCGACCAGCTGATTCAGTACTTCCTGGTGATCTGCGGTCCACTGGATTGGTGTGCGAGAGGGTAAATTACCTTTCTTACCCTTTATTGGTTTCTTTCGTTTCTCAGTCCGTGTTTCTGGGTCATGTTGTTCTAACTTGGGTGGAGCGAGAAGGTTATACAATGGCTTGGCCTTGCAGGCAAAGCCAGGGATGAAGGATCGGTAATAAGACAGGAACCCTAGCATCTGGCGCAGGTCGCCCACCGTTGCAATTGTCCGATTCTTCAGAGCCATCACAGGTGTAACCTCTGTGGGGGCCATTGTGTAGCCCTCTCCCGTCACCATCTTTCCCAGGAACCTCACTTTCCGTTTGAAGAGCTCACACTTTTTGGGTGTCAATTTCACCCCGTGGTCACTGGAGAACAAGGCGAACATGTTCTAGATGGTCATCGAAACTGCC